ATCCGTGGATTAGAGGCTGAATTGTAACGCTTTATTTCACGGATTACACTCATCTCCCTTCAGAACTTCGTGAGTGTCCAGTGGGCCGCCGTTGTCCAAAAGATCTACGTAGTCTTAAGTTTGGGTGCGCTCGGAGTCGACTGTATGTGGTCTATTTAGATTTTTACGTCAATAACCTGATTTAGTCCGTCCATATAAATGACGTTTCCACAGGGAATATTCGTCTGCATTTAGAGCACGCGAGGGTTCAGATTTGTATTGATTATCTTATAACTCCACTAGTCATATGTTAGTCGAACTACATGCCTTTTTATTTTACTATCACATATTTTATGTTAGTTCTTTCATTTGAATTGGATTCAAGTACAGAAGGAATGATATTTCCAGTACAATATAGTAAAATGTAAGAAAAATTAATTTAAATTGTACCAGTAGGTACCTCTGTAACGTTGAGTTGCTCTATGTCATTATATAGTCAGTGTTTTGAAAAACGGCCGTAAGCGAAATATCGAAAAAAAATCCTTAGGGTATGGTTTAAGTTTTAACGAGTCCTTTAAAATATTTACGTCCTGTTTTAAAATTCTATTTTAGTTCTAATTAAGTTTAAGTTTTAAAACATCGTGAAAACAAAGCTTGCTACTCTGAAAAATAGTGTTGGTTGATTGAAAATGGTTTGAGATTCACGTTAAAAATGGTTTATTTTATTATAGTTCATTATTAATTACTCATTATTCGACTACTGACCATTTCCTACATTAACTTGAACAAGTAAATCAAGTCTTCTCAGTCTATTACAAGAAATGAAAATATTGTTGTATCGATGATTTTTATGAATGAATAGGCAAAATACACCCACCGGATATTACTAGGGGAAATGCGATTTCGCTTGGCATTCAAAAGCGTTACTAAACAGGAGTGTGGGCTAAGGAGTGAGGCAGACAGTCTGCCACCCCACCCGCAGACCGCGTGAAGCCACCCCTCGCCTCCCGTCTATGCATTCCGCCTGTCGGCGTAATGTACCTTTTGCGGGGAAACCCGCCGGCAGACGAACGATCGCCTTAAATAATTTGGGCTAATTGGACCTCGTCTGGCTGGTGCATTTCCGTCAATCTTTCTCTTTTGATTTAATGGACCACAGATAAGGCTCCTGTCTATACCCAATTTCTCCTATCTATTCTCTTATTTAATTGTTAATTAATTAATTCGGCTTCATAATCCTAACAATTTAAATTGATACGTCGCCAAGCACGCGTTGTGCTGCGCATGAATGGATCTTAACCCGGGCAAACATTAATACGACGCATAAAGTAACTAGTTAGGACTGTACTAGACTAGTACACTAGTCATTGCACTCGTGAGGTTTCTGTACTACGTACTACGTGTGATAAAAATGTTATAATTGATTTTTATATAATTTGATAATTTATTGTGAAAAGATAATTTGTTTTTCAAAATTACATTGCAACAAAGGGTTTACTAACATTGTATTACTAATGGTTTGCAGGATCATCTAAATATGCGTTCGATAAAGGAAACAGAGGGAGGCAGACAGTTTCCCATTCCCTTTCCCATCCCTTGAATGCCGCGCCAGACATCCCCCTCCAGACTAGACTAGGGTGTCAACCCTCCGAGAGCGCGCCTCCTGACTATGATGCATCCTTAAATGTTTCAGAATCAATCATATTTCTGGTTTCTTCAAGTTTTTATGTGATTTTAACAGTAATTACACGATTTTTTTATGCCGGTATCATTAAACTATTACAATGCATTTGTTTAGCGAGCAGTGTGCTGTCATCTACATTGTTTTAATATTAACTTATAATAACAATAATGACACTACAACTTTTGAAATCATTTTCACCTTTATTAGATTATTTTCTCTTATTGTAATCTTAACTAGTTATTGTATAAGTTTGATATAAAACTTTTTTACGGTACTCGAACAGTGCACCTTAAGAGAGCGTATTTGATTGCGCCATGCGCAGGAGTGGCCGCAACCCGTCTCCGCGGCAAAAACTCGTGCAAAATATAAAATATGGGTTGTGCGCGTAAAAACTGCCATGATGCTCCTAGTTTGACGATATATTATCAAGTCCGCTTGAGTCATAGTATAATAAATAAAAGACAAAGGTCCAGTAAAGTATGTTTTATTTTTTAATTCTTCTTTCTTCCGAAGTCGCCGCAGGTGTAACACGCAGAGACGATGTGACGCCATTACATATTATGATAAATATCATTCGCGCGAGGACAGAAGAAAATTGAAAAAAAAAAAAAAAAATTTTTATAACGACATGCTGTTGTGTTTGTTATTATATATATTTAGGAGTCGGTACTTCCTCAGTTAGAATTCAAATCTCTTACTGAGTCGGTTCTATGGCGCGGGTCGAGTGGCAGAAACACTGGTTTTATTTAAAATTTTTTTTACAAACGTTTTTTTTACTATTTAGTCCAGTTTATATATAAAAATCATTGGTGTATGTAAAATACTTATTGAATACAGCGGTTTTATAGTAAGATTTCGAGGAAAGTTTGTGTTTTTCTTTTTTTAGGAAACGTGTTTTAACACCGTAGAGTAATCAATGTATATATTCTAAATTTTATATTTTTTCCAAAGTGGTTCGTTAACCACTTTCGCCGTTATGCGGAAACAACCCTTAAGAACGTGACAAAACTTTCAGTACAAGAAAAACACGTGCCGTTTCTATTTTTCCGCATCGCCAAATTAAGATAATTTATGTACGTACGTTGACATATTCCTACTTTGCTTTTTTGAAAAGTGCTTTATTGCCGCGCTGTTCGCTAAAAACAGCTGTATTTTAAAATGGTTTCATTATAAATGCCAGTTGTATTAAGAGTGCTTAAAGCTGGTTTCTGATTTTTTGTCAACATATTTTTGCAGCGCTTTCGTGGCATAATAAAAGTTTTTTAAATTTAGTTTTTACGTAAATGCGAGTAATTTGCATGGAGCGACGAATCATTTGCGTTCATTTATGGTTTTCTTTTCCTCTTGATAGATATTTACATCGATTTTTCATATAAAAATACTCCTAAGAGTAAATAACGTGCTTTTTATATATCTTTATTATTTGTATTCATTTTTAATTGAAAAATTTAACTCTTTGTGGTTACTTTTAACTAAAAACGAACTAAGTTAGTGCAATTAACAGTTATTTATTGCTCCGTATCTTTATTTTTCTCACATCTGAGCTTAGGTCCACTTTTTATTGTTTGTGTGAGCGCAGTTTTTCTTACATTTCCACGGTTTTTCCTTCTTCCTATACGGCTGCAGGTTTTTACATAGACTCGCTTGTATACGTAGTGTAACCATTCTTGTTTGATACTTGATCGACGTTTAAAATTCAAAATCCTGTCTGCCTCTTTGTGCTCGCGTTTAATTTACCTATTAACGTCGTCGCTAGATGGCGTCTTTAATAGACGTATTTCTCATAAAGTTCGCAATTATGCGTACTTTCTTTATCGCCACGAAAAATTTGAATTTTTACCGGCATTTTTTATTTCTATAATTTAATGGAGCATTTTACACAAATTTTTTATCTCTGTTTTTAAGTACCACGACGACTAGTTCCATTACTCGCAGTTACAAAAAAGGCTCCCAAGACAAAGCACTGGTGCCGCGGCGGTGGAAGAAAAACGCAAATTACCCGGTCCCGGGTTTGATTCCCAGCGCCACGCGCTTTTCTTTGAATCACTTCGTTTTTGCCCTTTGTCTCCCGCTATTATTATTGCAAAAACAGGACTGATTGTAGGAAATGGACTCTTGCAAAAAACGTTAACTCCGTCGCAGATGGTTAATAAGATTGTGAAATTTCTTATTTGAATTTTGTAAGTTTTTTTAATATTCATTCAATTATTATAGGACTTTGCTACGCGCGTTAACCTCATTATTACAATTTTTTGCAAATTATTTGTGAAATTTTCAATATCACGTTTCTAGTTAGAACTCCCAATTCTAATAATTTCCAATTCCGCCACACTGTACATGCGCGTATTTTTATAATCATGTAGCGTGTTATTTTTACAATTTACTCTCACTTAAGAGATTGACATGCTCCCAATCGAAAGGGCTTCCTCCCTAGGATCACCCCTCGGGAGGTATGGCCCACTTTCCGTCAAATGCGGGCACGACGCCTGACCTAACTCAACGAGATTCTTGTTATCGCAAACCATGAATGAAACCGATATACGCGTTAATTTTAACAAACAAAGTTTTGTCATTTATTTGAATTGACAAATAGATCGGAAAATGTCAAAGTTAGTCACGCCGAAGGGCGTGGAAATACATAATAAATATATACCGTTTGTCAGGGATAATATACAGCCGCGTTGCCGAACCCTCTTATTTCTGGCGTCACAGTAGGTTAAAACTTTTATATCTTTCGCCATTGCAATCGCAAAAAAACGGAAAGTATCTTATGTTCCCGCAATTTTGAAATAAAAATTCCAACAAACATTTTTTATAGGCTCTTGGAATTAAACTCCCTTTTTTATACATTGTATACGGTTTTAACGCAATACCGCTTGGCTGCAGTCATCAACAAATCGGTCGCATGAATATGAATTTTAATTAACGAGCGTCTTTTACCCGATAATCGATAGAAATGATCGAACAAACTTGGAGTTTTAACTCAAAAATGTTATCATCTTTCGCAACGCCAAAATATTCCCTTCGCAATGGCAAGTAAGTTGCTTACCAATTTAATAAAACCGAACGCGGCATAATTTCAAACGCCTTTCAAACATCGGGTGCGACAACGCAACAAAAGAAATATAAAAATACAAGAAGTAAAGAAGTAGTGCAACTCAAAAATGGACGCAACAATTAACAAAATACGCAAGTGAAAGAGAAAAGTATGATAAAAACAATGGCGAATACAATTAGTGACGGTTAACGAAAAATGAAATTGCGGCAAAATAAAGTGGAGTCCATTTCCGGCTGCACCTGAAAAAGCGAAATAATGCAAAATGTATGTGTGACTTACTTGTCCCATTCACGTTGCGGCCGATGATCTTGGTGGAGCCGTTGGGCAGCGCAGTGGTGAGGGGCGCTGCACCCCGACCCGTTTCGTCGCCCGGACTTTCCATCGTACTAGACCCGCTCGAACACATCAACGCGCCAATTAAAAAAAACTTTTCAAATTAAGATTTTCCCCCCAAAAAAATTACAAACAAGTCCATTTCGATTACCAAAACACTGTGTCCACAAATTTAAAACTCTTTCACATTTGAATGAGAAACAAAATACCGTCGATGCGAAGGATATGCCAAAGTTGAAACAAGGGAACTTGGAAAAGGTTTGAATTTTGGACGCGTCTAGGTGTTTCGAGCTCACGTTACCGACTGATGAGGAGCCGGGTGCGCGCTGCTATTTGTACCCTCTGTTTGGGGAGTTGGCGCGCTCCGCCCACCACCCTACAACCGCGACCCCTTGTCTGCCTCCCCAGGCACCCGGGTTTCCTCACCCTCGTATATAAAAAAATTCATCCCATACAATAGTAGATGACAATTGTACAATGTGCGAAGTCTCCCTATGTGAATATATTGAAAAGAGTCAGACGTAGCGTGGTATTGTTTGAGCTTAATAATTAACAACAAACGGTTCGAAAACTCGAGATTAGGGATGCACGGTTTTTTTTGCTTTAAATCGATTTTTTGGATTGTAATGGATCGATCCACAGATCGGATCGTATGCTCATGAGTCTTCAAAATCAATTTCGGTTAAAAAATCATTTTGACAGCCTTTTTGGGATCAGTCGGCTACGACTTTCATCTAGAATGATACTAGCCAGTGAGGAAAGACGAACAGATGGCATAGAAGTAGCGACAATCGCCAAATATTGTAGACTTATTGTACTTTGTCAAACTACTTTTCCTGCAGCTCAATAAAAAATAGTTCAGAAAGAGACTGTTTTGTTTCAATTATGAATACGATAGATCGTATATGCACTTGAATCGATCTTCATAAAAATCAAATCGAAGAATATTTAAACCTATTTATGACTTTAAATTTACATTGTAACGACAAGCTGTTTTTTATATATTAGTATACCCGTACCGGTCGATAGAGCTATTCCGACCGGCGGGGGGAGCTGCCCAGCTGCGTAGGGCGATATTCCCGGGACCTAGGACCTAGGTCGAGCTGCGCCCTATGATGACGCTCATCTGACTAGTGATTTTGCTCCCCCGGGCAAAGCTCGGAACTGCGTTTCAATCAAACAAAGGGTACTACTTGTTTTTGTTTCAAAACGCTTCAAGGGGACATTGTCGTCTATAAGCTTCTGTCTGGCTGTCAAAGAGATTATGGTTTCAGTTTACTTTCATTTAGGTCTGTTTATTTAGTATAAAAAACGTAAGTAGCTGCTCGTAAGAGTGCAAGTACGTGAACACGGACCGCGTGAAGTCTTCATTCATGCTTTTTCCTAAGGCCGTAACTATATATGGGTGGGGGCGCTTTGGCATTTCGCCAATTTGCCACCCTATTGTTACGTCACTGCAAGAACAAGTTAGTAAATTTCCTCGTGAATAGAGTCCAACGACATTTGATTCAACCCCGCAACAAGTAGTAGCATTCACATATGTAACAAAACAAAAACAAACAAAATTCCGGACATTCTATTCAAAACATTGTTTAAAACTACTTTTTTTGTTTACCCACGAAATAAAACAAATTCTAGTTTAATATTTAAATACTGAACCAGAATTTGTATTTATTAATCAATGTTTTTGTTTAAATTGATTAATCAATGTTTGGAACAATCTTCAAAAACAATTTCTATCATGTAATGATAAAAAAATTAAAATTGATGTTGTTTTTTTCTTACTGACGATCGTATACGTAAACTGTTGCAAGGATTATATTAAGAATCAAACGATTGTACTCTATCGTATTTCACCGTATTTGGAAATACAAGTTGTTTATATACAATTTTCTTTAGTCCTTTATACCAAAGGAATTTTCCAGTTCTCCGCCCGCGCGATGCTTCTAAGAAGCTTTTCCCCAACAATACATATTTGCACCCAATTGTTATATTTTTGGCATATGAAATTGCTCATGTTATGCCTGTGTCCTTTGTGGTTTGCTATTTAGGGACGGAAATAACTCAGACACCGTCGAAACTCAGTACAGCACAAAGGAAACTCTCCAAACTCCAGACGATACTCTCCACAGTGCTGATTAAATTCGAAATGTGCAGACTCCCTTTGCCAGACCCCTAACCCTCCCTTTTTATATTCATTTTATTTGTTTGTTCAGTCAAATGTAAATGCATAATAGAGTACGTCTTCGCAGTTTAAAACATATTGATTTACTTCAAAAGGAATCTTTCATCGTCTCAGCGATGGCCGCTTAAATTTTTAATAGTCGATTACAAAAAATATTTGTGTAGCAAGATTTTGGAAACTGCTGCTTAAAAAAACGGTCCATACGTAGGTTTTTGCAAATAAGCCGGTACCGTTGCTTGTCGGCGCCGCCGTGTATCTTTTTCGTTTCTCCGAAGCCGAAGTTTCGGCATCATGGAATTAAGCTAACTGATTATCATTTTTAATTTGATTTCGGCACGCAGCCGATCACCGCTTTAGCTTTTTGCGCTCGCTGGGTTTTGTTTAGATCTTAAAGGGTATGCAATCGCTTTATTTAGGCACTCTTCAAAATTATTAATCTTTGTCACAATAAAATAAAAAAAATTGTTCAAAGGCGTCAAATGAAATTACCATCTATTACTATCTGGTATAAACATGTTTAGTAAGGACGTTTTAGTAACAGTAGCTCCTTGTGAGTGTTCGTCCAGGGAAATACTGCCACTTGAAATTACAGACACTGGGACTTGTCAAGTTATGTCTCAGGGTGTCAGGTGAAGTGGCAGTGCCCTTCAGATCTTTGTGGTTTAAAGCTTTGATGGCACCGCAACTGTTATGGACTAGCGTGTCGCTTACCACCAGGCGCACGACTTGTTCGTCGCGTCACTTAGTATTATAAAAGGACGTTTTCAATTATATAGCCACATATTTTCGCATATTTCGAATATCACCTCAGGGTCTATCAATTTCTCTTGGTGCTGCACATCAGCGAGCCCGAGGGTTGAGCAAATCTCGTGATACGGCAAGGGTAAGCCCTATTACTATTACTGAATAAAGTCTATTTACAATCTGCAGGGGTATGTAACAGCGTTTGCATCTCCAAACATGATTGACACACCGTTAAATGTGTGCTTCACCTATAAAATCTATATACCCTAGGGAGACTGGGTGGGGCAATGGCGGCCGCTGCTAGGCACCAGAATCTTTCATAGGCGAGGCGTACGTTTCTTTATTGTGGACCTTGTCACCAATTATAATATCCAAACTAACTAACTTATTAATAGTTGTATTGGTGTCTGTACATTGTTTGAGACGAAAAACGCTCGAGGCCCACTTAAGAATACAGATTTATTCGCCATCGTCATCATCAAATTGCCGCCGTGGCTAAAACTGTCACCATGCTAAACTGCCACGCAGAGGTCCCGGGTTCGATTACCGGTCCGGGAGAAATATTTGTATGGCCTATATTTATTTCTCTCGTGAGTTTGGGTGTAATTTGTGGTTGTCTACCTATATGTGTGTCCATGGCACCCGCGATACATGGTTTCCTTATCACGGGGCTATGTATGTGCGTGTACAAAAAAAAAACTATTGCACGTTACCCTGTTGGACACGGGTCTGTAGTAAGGATATAATTGCTTGCCCAGGCGGATTGGGATCTTCGCACATTTTCCAAATCTTGTCTTCTGCGATGCGCATGTTTTATGATGGTATATAAATAGAAAAAGCACAGAGATTCAAACCATCGACTTTTCATTGCGCTGACTTTCTGTCCTCACATGGTGATACTTTTGAAGCAAGTACCGCCGATCATCGAACCCACCAGACACGTAGTGACAAATGGTAAAATCGTTGATCCATAGAATCAGAACAAATTAACATGGCCCTCTCTCGTGACCACGCGAATACAGACAGTGCCTCAGCATTTAACTGCCTCCGTGGCCGTACGGTTACCAGACAGACCGGGAGAAATATGTGTATATGGCTTACATGTATTTCTCTCGTGGTTTGGATGTAATTTGTGGTTGTCTACCTATGCGTGTGTCCAAGAGACCACAGGGTTCCCCTAGTGCGGGGCCAATGAGTGTGTTGTGTTTATTGTCACTTTTACAGTACAAGACGAAGTCCTTAGGGGGCAAGGGTGAAACTTGGCTAGAGAGCTTGCCTCGTTGAAGCCTGCACTGAAAATAAAAAGCTGCAATATTGTGAAAGTCAAAGTCAAAATCAAAGTCAAAGATTATTTATTCCATAGGTAAAATAAATTTACACTTGAAAACGTCACATTTAAGTCACAGTTAATCAAATTTGTGTGGATTCTTGAGCCGTGTCGTCTTTCCATACATCTTTATCTAACATGTATAGTCTTCAATTTTGTAATATGATTTTTCGATCAAAATATTTTTAATGTAGTTTTTAAACTTAGGAAATGATAAACTTAATATATGCTCCGGAATCTTATTGTAAAATCGTATACAGTTCCCCATAAAAGAGTTATTTACCTTGGTTAAACGAAATCGTGGTACCATGAGTTTGGACTTAGCTCTAAGGTTAATATTATGGATATCTTCTTTCGTATTGAAATTATGTTTTTTTTACGGGCATACGCACCCTTACGCTTCAAAACCGGAACGCAATGTCACATTACTGCGTGGAGGTAGAAATAGGTAAGGTTTAGGAACTTAATTGCTACTAAATATAAATATAATAGGGGTTAAAGTATGAAATTGCCGATTTGTACTGAAAATCTAAATTGTTTATTTTTTAAATTTTTAACAAATTTATTTAATCAAAATAGTTGCCATTATTATCTATACATTGCTGCCATCTAATGGGAAGGTTATTAATGCCTTTGCGATAGAACTCCGACGATCTAGACTGCACAAACTGTGTGAAAGTATTTTGTACTGCCTCCTGGGAAGAAAACTTCTTGTCACGTAGATAATTGTCCAAATCACGAAAAAAATGGTAGTCCGTTGGAGCAAGGTCTGGTGAATACGGAGGATGACGAATGGTTTCTAACTGCAGTTCCTGAAGGGTCAAAATGGTTTCTCGTGCTGTGTGAGGTCTCGCGTTGTCGTGGAGCAATAATGGTGAAGATCGATTCATGAGTCGGGGCTGTTTTACTGCTAGTTTTGTCAACATGGTTCGGAGTTCGGCACAATAGACATCTGCCGTTATTGCTTGACCAGATCGGAGAAAACTATAGTGAATAACACCATGCTGAGACCACCA